GGCCCCGGGGGGAGCACACACCCTCCGGGAGAGGGGGCACACGACCCCCGGGACCCCTCCCTCACTTTCTTGCGCAGGGAGAAACCGAGCCCCAGCGCCAGGAAGACGAATCCCAACACGGAGCCCTGATCCCAGTCAGCATCTTCCTGCGGGCAGTGTCTGGCAGCATCTCTGGGGGTTCCAGAGGGGTCAGGACCACCAAAACTTCTCACAGACATCACAAGCCCCTCCAAGCACCCTTCCCGTCGCCCCCAGCTTACCCAGGACCCCCTGAAACGTCCTCCCAATCCCTTCCCAGCCTCCCCAGGACCCACCAAAGCCCCTCCTGTCCCTCTCAGCATGACACAACCACCTCCCTGTTGCCCCCCACCATCCTAGAACCCCCAAACCCTCTCCCAGTTCCTTCCCAGCCCCACAAGGATACACCAAGACCCCTCCCAATCTCTTCCCAGCACAACCAACCTCAACCAAACCTCTGCCATCCCTAATCTCCTTCCAGCCCCTCCATGCTCACTCATATCCCTCCCAGTCACACCCAGCACCCCAAACACACTCCCAGCCACACCCAGCACCCCAAACTCTCCCAGTGCCCACCAGGACCGTCCCAACCCCATCCCACCCTCTCCAGCATCCTCCAAACTCCTTCTCAGCCCTTCCAGACCCACGAGCCCCTCTCCCAGTTTCAACCAGACTCTCTCCAACTCTCTCCCACGTGCTCCCAGCACATCCCAGTGCCTCTCCCAGCAGCCCCAGTGCTTCCCTCGTGCCCCAGTGCTGGCTCAGGGGTGCTCCAGGCTGACGTGCTCCACCTGGCAGCTGCAGGTGACCCCACACCGGGGGCAGTTTCCAGCAGCACCATCCGCTGGTGGCTCCAGTCCCCACTGGGAACCACATCGGTGGCCAGCACAGAGAGCTCCTGCTGGCCCTGGAACCACCTCAGCTGGATGTGGGCAGGGTAGAAATCCATCACGGAGCAGAGCAGGCGGCCGGGGCCGGGCTGGGAGCTCGAGGGCACCAGCGAGATGGACACGGTGGGATGGGCACTGGGAGAGAGCAGGGACACACTGGGATCAGCTGGGGGGAACTGGGAGAGAGAGGGGAGGGGTGGAATGGCCTTGAGAGGGGCAGGGAATGGAGTAGAAGGGACTGGAAATGCACTCGGAATTGCCTGGGAGAGACTGGGATTGGATTGGGATGGATTGGGATAGACTGGGAGGGGAAGGGGGAGAACTAGGAGAGAGGGTGAAGGTCCTAGCGTGAACTGGGAACAGCCTGGCAATGGGCTGGGAATGGACTGAGAAGGAGTGGAAGGGACTGGGGCGGCACTGGGAGGAACTGGGAATGACGCGCGCGGCACTGGGAGGCCGAGTCCAGCGCGGGGCACTCGGCGCTGCGGGTCTGCCTGGCAACGGATGAGTCATCAGAGACACGCGCCCTGATTGGCTGAGAGGCGTCAGCAGCACGCTAGGCTGAGATGGACACGCCGCGGGACACTGGGAGAGACTGGGAACGGACTGGGAACGGACTGGGAACGGACTGGGAACGGACTGGGAACGGACTGGGAACGGACTGGGGTCACTGGGTTGGACTCGGAGGGAAGGGAGGGGCCGGGAGGGCTGAGGGCTCCGGGGCGATTCCCAGCCAGGCTTGGAGGGGCTCCAGGGTCACTGCCAGGGCAGGGCCCGAGGGGACACGCTCTGCCCCGCGCTCACCTCGGCGCTCCGTGAGGAACACGGCGGCCACCTCGGAGTTGCTCCGCCAGTACCAGAGCACCGCGGTCCTTTTGAGCCGCAGGAAATCCGGGAGGCTGTTCCTGTACCCGGCCACCTTCTCCCCAAAGGGGGTGAACCCCACAAAGTGCCCCACAAAGTCGCAGTCGAAGTGCAGGAGCTGCTCCCGGTTGTAGCTGTGTCTCTCCGCGTACTTCACCCTCTCGGTGCCGTTCATGAAGTGACACTCAGCCTTTGCAATCCACTGCAACAGCCCTGAGTGTGCGGGACACAGGTCAGGGGTGCACCCCTATCACCCCCAGAGCTCCGGCGCCACCCCGGATCCCCACCCCGCACCCCCTGTGCCCCACAGCCGCCATGGGACCCTCCTGCCCGCGCTGCCTTTTCCTCTTTCCCATCCTTCCCCCATTTCCCCTTTCACATCCTCTCCCCTCCCATCTCCAGTCGCTTCCCAAATCACTTTTGAGGTCCCAGTCCCCCCTTTCGCACCCTTTCCCTCCAGTCCCCAGCCCCCTCGGGCTCACATTTTGGCTCCCACCCTCACTATTCCCCACTTTCCCACCCTCTCCCAGCCCTTCCCCACCTCCCCCCACCCCTCAGCCCCTCCCGCTCTCCCTTCGGGGGGTCCCCTCCTCCTCCCGTCCATTTCGGGCTGCCCCCTTTTCCCCCTTCTCCCCGCCCGGCCCAGCGCCTCCCGCCCCCCCGCTCACCCGAGAGCTCGGCGCCCGCAGCCGGGGCGCTGCCAGCAGCAGCAGTGCCACCAGTGCGGCCGCAGCTGCCGCCCCTCGCCCCGCGGCAGCGCCGGGCAGGGGCCGCAGCCCCAAAGCAGCCGCGCTGCGCCGGGAGCGCCCGCCCGGAGCCTCTGCCCGGCGACTGATGACTCCGCAACGCCCCGCGCTCTCATTGGCTGTGGCGCGCTCCTGCTGCGCTCGGATTGGCTGGGGGGTTCCCGGCACGCTGCAGCCCCGGCTGGGGCTTTTCCAGGCAGGCGGAACCTTGGGGCGCTGGGCAGGTGCGAGCTCAGGTGTGCCCAGAAATGCGCGCCCAGGGCCGCGGGGTCTCGGGGCTGCCCGTGCCGAGGGGTGACGCTGGCCCGATGCCAGGCACCCCCAGAGCCGCTCTGTCCCTGCCCCCCGCAGCGGCACAGCCACAGAAAATGGAACCGAGGGCTCCTGCGTGGGCCCCTCCCCAGGCTTTTCCCTATTGATTGTTCCACTGTTTCTATCACCCTCTCCCCACTCCCACCCTCTTGCTGATTAGTTGAAGACCAGACTCCACCTCTGTATCCTCCCCTCTTTAAAAGTTAGTGTCAGACGCCCGTTCGGGGTCTTCAGCGCTCAGTTCCCCATGACCCAATAAATCCGGATTACACTGCAGCTGGAGTCCGTCTCCTTTCCTCCTGTTGGGTAGCAGCCCTCTCTTTGCGGATCCTCGTCCCTCAAGGCGAAAGCCTTAGGCGCCCTCCTGACCGGAGCAGGGATCAGGAGAGTGCCCCAGGGCTGCTGGTGGTGCTGGCCACAGCTAGCAGGGACGTTCCGAAGGGGCAATCGCTTTCCCCTTTGAGGACAGCCGCCACTGCAGTTTGGCACACAACGTGGTGCCGCTGTGAAGATCTCCGGACCCCATGGACAAGGATTCCGGACCCTCTGGGCTCTACTCACTGGACTTTGGTAAAAATCCTCTCTTGGCCGTCAAACTACCCTTGGTTGAGCAGACCCCTTTCTGGTGGGTGGGGCTCCCAGGGGACCGGCGACGGCAGCTCTGAGCACCTGCGGAGTCGTTCCCACAACAGGAGCCATCGCCTTGGATTTCTGTTGACCTCCACCGAACCTAAGTCCTTTTCCCATTCTCCGTTTTTCTTCGCCCTGTCTTTTTAATTCCCGACTGCTCTGCTCGGTTCTTTTTCCTGTGCCTCTGTGCACCTTTCTTTTAACTGCGCAGTAACTTGCTGGCATAGTCCAGCGACAGGGCTCGGTGCGGGGTTCCACTTTTTCTTTTACGTTTTTCCAGGGCGGTGGGCAGAGTGAGCCGCACCATTTAAAATCTTAATCCTGGGTGCATGTTTGTCAGCAGCTCCGAAAAGACTTAATATCCAGGTTGCGGATATCCTTGTGAGTGGGAGTGTTGAAAAAGTTAAGAAAAGGGAATTAAAGAAGTTAGGTGCATGGCTGCTCTCTCAGTTCCCCAAGGTGACCCCTGACCAAATTGATAATAACCAGTGTTGGAATTATGTCTGTAACAAATTAGATGAAGTAGGCAAATAGGGGATTCATCTCTTTCAAAAATTGCCTTTTGGAGTTCACAGGTGAAAAGATTTTAAGATCTCGTTCGGGACTGAGGAGGCAGCCATCCTCCACGAATATGAGCTCCAGTTTTCCCAGTTCTCCCCATCCTAGCCCTTTTCCCTCTCCTGCTCACCCAAAACCCGGGATTTTGATGGGAGCAGTGTCTCCACAAGACGACTGATTTGCAGGTGCAGAGTGAGTCTGCCAGACTTGAAATCTTGACTGAGATGGCAGCAGCTAATGCTAACTCTGCATGTAAAGCCGCCATCCTCAGCCTGCCACTGGATCCTCCTCCCACTCTGCATCAAATGCTAGAGGTCTGTGCCAGGAAGGTTTCCGTCCCAGCGGAGGAGCTCGACCCCCAACAACGACTGTCAACCCGGAGAGTGGCCGCCATTGAAACTGAAGATATTGCCGCTGCCGCTGCTCCAACCACCCCAAACCCTGGTCATCCGCCTTGCACACGAAGGGTGCCGCAAAGAACTTCTGCTCCATGCCACCTCTGTGGGAAGATAGGGCATTGGATGCCAGAATGTCCCCTGAGGCAGCAATTCATAGACTTTAAGAAGAGACAGAGGCCTCAGGGAGACACACAGGCAAAAAACTAGGAGACCAGCGCGATTCTTCCCCGTGCCAGGACAAAAATAGGGCAGGCAAAACAACATCTTGCGGGGGGCGGGGAGGGAAAAGAGAGAAACTCCCACAGGGCCTGCCTGTATCTGCAACTCCACTGGATGTGACTACACCTGACTTGACTCACCCTGATTTACCTTGTCTTATGTGTATTAGACCCAGACCGATTTTAACAAGTGATTCTAAAATTGTGCCCTGCAGGTTGCAGCTTAGGGAGTCTCTGCACATCAAGGACTCTCACTTCCATCTTATCTCTGTGTGCCCGGAACAAGAAGGTACCTTGGGTCAGAGCAAGTGTAAGTACGTAATCATTTGAGATACAAAATACACACCAATTGATGTCAATATTGTCCTGGGTCTCTTGACATCGGACCTGGGGCAATTCTCTCTTGCGTTGTACTGTGTCCGCCCTCCCACCTTTCTGCCCAAAGGACAAATTGTGGCTTGGGCCCGAATTCCAGTGCCCGAACTGACCTGGGATCCAGAGCTTGCCATGTCTGCACCAACATACAGTTCCATACACGGTAGCCTGGGCCCAGGTCCTTGGCAGAGATAAACCACGAATAACATGCAGTTTACAGAAAGGTGGGGATCAAAAACTATTGCAAGGGCTTTTGGATATGAGGGCAGATGTGACGATCTTTCCCTCTAGGGAATGGCCATCACATTGGGAGCTGCAGGATGTGGCCAAACGTGTCCAGGGTGTCAGAGGCATTCAATTGGCAGAACAATCAAAGGAGCATTGTGCAAATTAAGGGGCCGCACGGGCAATTGGCTTCAGTGTGCCCATTTGTTTTGGACTACACGGAACCCCTGTGGGAGAGAGACCTTCTTGCCCAGTGGGGAGCCAGAATCGACCTCCCAACAGCTCCCCAGGTTTTTCGGGCAGCGATCACTGAAGAGCGCCCTACCCAAAAACTGATTTGGAAAACTGATTCACCAGTGTGGGTAGAGCAGTGGCTGCTTTCCAAACAAAAATTAAAGGAGCTCCAGGAGCTCGTAGAGGAGCAGCTACTTAAGGGCAATCTGGTGGAGACCACATCTCCGTGGAACTCCCCAGTTTTTGTCATCAAAAAGCCCAACAAAGAGAAGTGGCGGCTCCTCCACAACCTCCGACGAATTAACAACGTCATTGAAGACATGGGTCCTCTCCAGCCGGGGATGCCATCCCCAACGATGCTCCCCCAAAATTGGCAATTGGCGGTTATTGATATTAAAGACTGTTTCTTTCAAATTCCCCTTCACCCTGATGACGCCCCACGTTTTGCCTTCTCGGTTCCTACCATCAACAGGGAAGCCCCAAAGAAGAGGTACCATTGGCGTGTTCTCCCACAAGGAATGAAGAACAGCCCAGTCATCTGCCAATGGCATGTCTCATCCTTGCTGTCCTCAGTGTGTGCAACTGCAAGAGAGTCCATAATACACCATTATATGGATGATATTTTAGTCTGTGCTCCGACCGATGATGTACTCACACACACACTTAACCTGGCAATCAATTCATTGATTGCTGCAGGGTTCAAGCTTCAAGAGGACAAAATTCAAAGGATGCCACCCTGGAAATACCTGGGTCTTGAAATTGGCAAACGCACTATTATGCCTCAAAAACTTAACATTAAAAACAACATTCGGACCTTAGCAGATGTCCAACAACTGTGTGGGTCCTTAAATTGGGTGAGACCTTGGCTAGGCATTCCCACTGACCACCTAGCCCCCCTTTTCAATTTATTGAAAGGGGGAGAGGAGCTTAGTTCTCCTAGGTCCCTCACCCAGGAGGCACGGGCTGCACTGGAAAAGATTCAAGAGTCTATCTCCGCCAGGCAGCCTCACCAGTATCAACCGGGCCTGCCATTCAAATTTATAATTCTAGGAAAATTGCCACACCTCCATGGGGTGATTTTTCAGTGGGACGCTACAACTAAGGAGAAGGACCAAGGCTCTAAGGACCCCCTCTTAATTACAGAGTGGGTGTTCCTTAGCCATCATAGGTCCAAAAGAATGTCTCAGAGGCATATCCAAACCTCAGTGGCTAGCACCAGATGCCAGTTTTGAATTTGGCCACTGACTGGTCTGACTTAGACTCTTCCAGAAACACACTTCCGGGCCAAACCACGACATACCTAAAAAGACCCCTTCTATTGGAGTTGTGGCACAGGTTGAAGAGGCCTGTTGGAGGAGGAGGCGCAGCCATTTTCAGGAGATTTGGACCTCCTCCCGGGGCAGAACCAGAACCTTTAATTTAGTCTTACATTTTCCCCTTTGTTTCTTTTGTAGTGACCTGAATCCAATGGCTCCCATCCCCATCACAGCTGCCATCTTTGCCACCATCCTCTGGTCCACCCTTCAGCTTTCAAACCTGTGGATCATCCCCCAGCCGAAGCAAAATGTCTGGAAAATGCTCACAAAGGCTCTCGGCCAAGATCAGCTCTGTCTAACTACCACCTCAGCAGCAGACCCCTTGTCGAACTGCCTTGTGGGGATCCCTTCAGACCCAGACGAGTTCCCTCCCACTCTCGACACTTCCCTAAGACTTATGGCTCATCAAAAGGTTATCCGTTCTCCCGGAATCAACCCCAACCTAGTTTGGAGAACCCTTATCTCCAATTTAAATCTCTCAAATTCTGAACCGGTTGAATTTAAGTTATTTGGTTCTGCTCAAACTTCAGTTTGTGTCCAGTTTATGTTTTCCCCAACCCCGTAGAGAAATCTTACCTTTCCATGTTACAGCACAATCAAAATTACGTGGCTGGAAATTGGTGCAGCACGGTTGCCCAAATTTCCACAGCCTCTACCTATGATCATGAACCCCGATCTCTTCCCTGAGGAGTCTTTGTCATTTGCAGAGACCGAGCATGGGCAGGCATCCCCTGTTGCCTAATAGGAGGCCCGTGTTCTTTTGGAAAGCTGACGCTGTTTACGCCCAACGACACATAAATTGCAAAATTGCAGGTCTAAAAGGGTCACA